CCAGCTTTCGCTGGCTGGGGAATTCTGGGAGTTGAAGTCCGGACATCTTCAAGTTGCCAAGGTTGAGAAACACTGCTCTATTGTAAGCCTGTGTAGTCATTTCAGAGGTGGGTTCCTACCAGTTTGGATTGGTTTGGCCGAGTAAGTAGTAACCCGGCCTGCCACGCCCCTGAACTGTGGTGCCGCCATCTTGTTTTTTGCTTCTGCGCATGCACAGAAGCATTTCTTAGTATTGTGCATGCGCATCAAGCGCACACAGCGCGTCCCTGAGCGAATTGGCGGCAGCAGCACCCGGAACCCACCCTTGGGTCATTTGATGTTTTGCTTAACTTTGCTTAGTGTCAAACTTGCTGGTCCCAGTTAGGATTATAAAATGAGAACTACCTGTTGTGTTGTTTTTTCGCTACTGTTTTAGGAGATATGCTTCAGTGTCTAAGTAAACCTCGAATACTACATGGCTTTTTGCTATAAGAATTGTTAGATAGCCTTTTCCTATATGTATATATTTTTTTATTGCAGAATGGTCAGACTCCTTTGATGCTAGCTGCAGAGCAAGGCAATTTAGAAATTGTCCAAGAACTGATAAAAAAAGGCGCCAATTGTAACCTGGAAGATTCAGTAAGTACTAAGAAGCTTATTCTGGTTTATACTTTTATCTCTCCTCCAGCACATTTAATTTGCCATCAGCCTGTATATATCTTTAAATCAGACCTGTGAACACAAAATATACAACAGATAAGACTGTGCCATTCCATACTATTGTTTGTTGTTACAATAAATAAAGTATGATATCATGTCTGCAAATCGTTTTTGTTAAAGCTTAATAGTTTAAGGGAGTTAATTCAAGCTAGAACAAACTTTTGATTGTGGCTTCTGCCTGTCCAGTGGTGAGACTTGAATAACTTAACAACCGGTTCTCTGACTGGGTACGTGTGGCTGGTTGGTCATGTGACTGGGTGGGTGACATCATTCATCACACTTAGCCCCGCCTCCTGGCCACATGCCTCAAAGGCAGAGGTAGGATTCAGCAGATTGGGGCTAATCCCACCACTGTCTGACGCTGCCCCCGCCTGTTTTTTGGCATTTTTTCAGGCTGTTTTCAGGCCGTTTTTTGGCCAAAAAATGGCTGAAAAACAAGCGGGGGCAGGGCCAGCCAGTGGTGGGATTTGCCAGTGCGCAGAATCTTAACTACTGGTTCGCTTGAACAGGTGCGAACTGCCAGCAGCCCACCTCTGTGCCTGTCCTAATAGATTTGGAGAAGTGGGCAATGCTCTGGGCCCCATCAGTGAGACAATGTTATCTGATGGGTCCTTGGAAGTGTGCCTTCTCTGTCATGGCACTGGCCTATCCTATCTTGGAATATCCTAGTCTTGGAGATATGGATGATTGCAACCCTGTTTCCCTTGAGAAAAGTGGTGAGGATTTGGTTTTTTCCTCAGGCATTGTGGCCAAGTTATTAATGGAGTTGGGAGGCAGATAGATGAATGCGAGTCTTACCTTTTTTTAAAATTCTTTTTTTATTGGTTTTATTGTAATTTCTTTGATTGTTATGAGCTGTCCAAAACCATTGACAGTCAGGTGGTATTCAAATTTAATTATTATTAAGGCCTCAACCTTACTTTTTTTTTTTTT